CTCAGCATTGACTTTTTTTGTGTGTGCCAGTCTTAGGGTTTGAACTCCTCTTAGGGCCCTAGTGCTGTCTCTGAGCTTTTAGTGATCAAGGCTAGCACTCTACCACTTGAACTGCAGCCCCACTTTCAGCTTTTTGGTGACATAGACTTTCTTTCTTTTTTTTTTTGGGGGGGGGGGTCCAGTCATGGGACCTTGAACTCTAGGCCTGGGCGCTGTCCCTCAGCTCTTCAGCTCAAGGCTAGCACTCTACCACTTAAGCCTCAGCGCCACTTCCAGCTTTTTCCTTTTTGCTTATGTGGTGCTGAGGAATCGAACCCAGGGCCTCATGCATGCAAGGCAAGCACATTCTACCACTGAGCCAACATCCCAGACCAGTGACATGGACTTTCTTAGCTGGCTTTGAAATACAGTCATCAGATCTCAATCTCTTGAAAAGCTAGTATTACAGATGTGAACACTGGAGTCTGGCAACCCTGATGTGTGTGTGGGGGGGGGGGAGGGGTAATGTGGTGTGTGTGTGTATGTGTGTGTGTGTGAGAGAGAGAGAGAGAGAGAGAGAGAGAGAGATAGTACTGAGGCTTGAACTCAGAGCCAGGGCACTGTCCTTTACCTTTTATACTCAAGGCTATAACTCTACAACTTGAACCACAGCTCCAATTCTGGCTTTTTGATTGTTAATTGGAGAAAAGAGTCTACTCCCCAGGGGGGCTTTGAACTTTAGTTCTCAGATCTCAGCCTACTGAGTAGCTAGGATTAGAAGCATTGATCTTGCCCAGAATTTTTTGGTTATTCACTATATATGTATATATTTGTAAGTCCTGGGGCTTGAACTAAGGCCCTCACACTGTCGCTGAGTTTCTTTTTATTTATTTATTATTATTATTTTTTTTTTTTTTTGGTCAGTCCTGGGGCTTGAACTCTGGCACTGGGCGCTGTCCCTCAGCTCTTCAGCTCAAGGTGAGCGCTCTACCACTTGAGCCACAGCGTCACTTCCGGTTTTCTGGTGGTTTATTGGAGATAAAGAGTTTCATGGAATTTCCTGCCCAGGCTGGCTTTGAACCTCGATCCTCAGATCTCAGGCTCCTCAGTAGCTAGGATTACAGGCTTGAGCCACTGGTGCCCGGCTCCTGAGTTTCTTTTGCTAAAGCCTAGCGTTCACTCTATCACTTGAGTCACAGTGCCACTTCTGGCTTTTTCTGTTTATATAGTACTAAGGAATCAAACCCAGGGCTTCATGAATGCTAGGCAAGCATTATACCAATAAGCCACATTCCCAGCCCCCCATATAAAAATTTTAATTATGTTTTTTCTATTTCTGTGAACATTAGGATTGCATTGAATCTGTACATTGCTTTCAGTAGCATATCCATGTGACAATATTAATTCTGCTGATCCATGAGCATGGGTTGTCTTTCCATCTTTTAGTGTCTTTTTGTTGTTGTTGTTGTTGTTGTTTTTCTTTTTGCTTATGTGGTGCTGAGGAATTGAACCCAGGGCCTCATGCATGCAAGGCATGCGCTCTACCACTGAGCTACCTTCCCATCCCTTCTTAAATGTTTTATAGTTTTCTTTTTCTTTTTTTTTTATGTTTTTGGGTCCGGTTGTGGGGCCTGAACTCTGGGCCTGGGCGCTGTCCCTCAGCTCTTCAGCTCAAGGCTAGTGCTCTACCACTTGTGCCACAGCACCACTTCCGGCTTTTTTCTTTTTGCTTATGTGATGCTGAGGAATCGAACCCAGGGCCTCATGCATGCCAGGCAAGTGCTCTACCACTGAGCCACCTTCCCCGCCCTTCATTGTTGGTATCTTTAAAAAGCTTGTATCCTGAGACTTTCTTTCAGAAGTGTTTATCAGATTTATGAGTTTTGATGAAGGCTGTTACGATGGCTTACTGGTAGAGTGCTTGCATTGCATGCATGAAGCCCTGGGTTCGATTCCTCAGTACCACATAAACAGAAAGAGCTGGAAGTGGTGCTGTGGCTCAAGTGGTAGAGCTCTAGCCTTGAGCACAGAGAGGCCCAGGCCCCAGGACTGATAAAAAAAAAAGTCTTGATGAAATTTTAGCATCCTTTAAGTATAGGAACATATCACTAGAGCTCACATTCCTCTCTCTCTCTCTCTCTCTGTCTCTCTCTGTCTCTGTCTGTCTGTCTGTCTCTCTTTCTCTCTCTCTCATCAATCATGGGGCTTGAACTCTGGGCCTGGGTGCTGTCCCTGAGCTCTTCAGCTCAAGGCTAGCACTCTACCACTTGAGCCATAGCATCACTGCCATTTTTCTGGTAGTTAATTGGAAATAAGAGTTATCATGGACTTTCCTGCCTGGGCTGGCTTTGAACTGCAATCTTCAGATCTCAGTCTCCTGAGTAGCTAGGATTACAGGTGTGAGCCACCAGTGCCTGGCTAGACTGCTTTTTTTTTTTTTTTTGGTCCGGTAGTGGGGCCTGAGCGCCGTCCCTCAACTCATGGGTAACGCTCTATTGCCACAGGGCCATTTCCCGCTTTGTTTTTTGCTTATGTGGTGCTGAGGAATCAAACCCAGGGCCTCATGTATGCAAGGCAAGTGCTTTACCATTGAGCCACCTTCCCAGCCCTAGACTGCTTCTTGATTACCCTCCCTCCCTCCCTTCCTCCTTCCCTTCTTTCCCTTTGTGCCAGTCCTGAGCTTGAACTTAGGACCTGGGTGCTGTCCCTGAGCTATTTTTTTGGGAGGGGGGTCCGGTTGTGGGGCCTGAACTCTGGGCCTGGGTGCTGTCCCTCAGCTCTTCAGCTCAAGGCTAGCGCTCTACCACTTGAGCCACAGCGCCACTTCTTTCTTTTTTTCTTTTTGCTTATGTGGTGCTGGGGAATAGAACCCAGGGCCTCTTGCATGCAAGGCAAGCGCTCTACCACTAAGCCACCTTCCCAGCCCCTGAGCTTTTTTGCTTAAGGATAGAACTCTACCACTTGAGTCATTGCTCCACTTTGGATTTAACTGGAGAAGAGTCTCATGGGCTTTCCTGCCCAGACTAGCTTCGAACCATGATCTTCAGCTCTCAGCCTCCTGAGAAGTGAGGATTATAGGAATGAGCTACTAGTGCTCTGCTTGTTTCTTTTTTCCTAACTTATAATGCTTTTTTTTTTTCCGGTCCTGGGGCTTGAACTATGGGCTTGGGCACTGTCCCTGAGATTTTGCTCAAGGTTAGCACTCTACTGTCACAGCACCACTTCTGACTTTTTCCGTTTAAGTCATGCTGAGGGATTGAACCCAGGGCTTCATGAATGCTAGGGAAGCACTCTAACACTAAGCCACATTTCCAGGCCCTACAATCTGTTTTTGTTTTTGCTTTAGCTGTACTAGGATTTAAACTTAAGGCTGTGCTCTTGCTTATGTTTGTTGACTGGTGCTTACCACTTGAACCATGCTTTTAGCCAGTTATTTTGGAAACAGAGTCTCCTTGACTTTTCTGCCCAGCCTGTCTTCTAGCCACACTTCTCCAGATCCCAACGTCCTGAATAGCTCATAATCTGTTTCGCTGGGATCCCAATATAAGCAAAAAACCACAAATATCAGTTTACTTTTTCTAAAAGAATGAAAGAGAATAACCTCTGCCCCCAATTTAATGAAAATAAATGAAAGAGAACATATAAAAGGTACTTTGCAGGCAGGTATAGTGACACATATTTATAATGCCACCACTCAGGAAGCTGCCTCAGGAGAATCATGATTTTGAGACTCTGTCCAAAAGTAAATCATTTTGCAAATTTTAATATGATATACAAGTGTACACAAATGCTCTCTAGCTATCATATATAGTGTGAAGGCATTACACAAATCCAGTTCTTGCCACAGTCTTGAAAACAAGCATGGCTTACTAACTCCATTAAACAGCTGAGGGAAGAGACTCAGAAAGGGGGCAGGTAACATCACACTGAGATGGTTCACACTCAGGCACTGAGTTCAGCCAGGCACTGGGCTTCATGCCTGTAAACCTAGCTATTTAGACAGCTGCAAATGGGAGGACGGTTGTTCAAAATTCACGCAGGCAGAAAAGTTCACGAGCCCCCTTTCAATGCACAGCAGGGCACTGTGGTGCACACCTGTCATCATATGCTACATCTTAAGCTCTCATTTCACAGATGAAGTGACTGAGACCCACATTGCCCAATGAATTGCCAAGGGTCACACAGCTCATTATGGTGTAGCTATTTCAGGACTGAGATCCAGGGCCAGCACCTAGAACTCTAACTCCTTACCCAATGTTTTCTCCAATTTACAAACTGTCTACCTAACTCAGTGCTCTTTCTATTGGGAGAGCTTAAAGCTAGATTTGGGCAGGCAAAAGTTGGAAATGAAGTAGGAATAAAGCAATTGCAAGTGTTTCCAATTAAAATGAAGACACAGCAGCCTTGTCTGTGTATTTACAGTTGAATTTCCTGAACATCAAGTACCAGGCAATGGCTAGATGGTGAGCTTGCCCAGAGCTCTGAGAGGAACAGTCCTCCGGAAACTTCCTCTGTGCCAGCTGCCACAAGAGATTGCTGCTATCTGGGAATACTGGTGGAGTCTTTCAGCCTTAAAGGTAACACTTCAAACCAGAATTGAGAAAAGCCACTGGCTTTACATATCTCCAGAAAGGTGGCAGTGAGAAGCCAAGTTACCAGGTAGAGGTTGAGCTGTAATAATAAAGTCTGGGTATGGAGTCACCTTGGTGTAAAGAATAATTTTCCCGAGGCTGGGTAGGTGGCTCAGTGGTAGAACGCTTGCCTTCCATGCATCAGGCCCTGGGTTTGATTCCTCAACACCACATAAATAGAAAAAACCAGAAGTGGCATTGTGGCTCAAGTGGCAGAGCACTAGCCTTGAGCTGAAGAGCTGAGGGACAGTGCCCAGCCCAGAGTTCAAGCCCTAAGACCAACCCAAAAAAAGGAGGAGGAGGAAGAGGAGGAGGAGGAGGAGGAGGAGGAGGAAAGAAAGAGGAAGAAGAAGAAGGAGGAGGAGGATAATTTTCCCATAGGTTGAATGCTTCTTTCCCTACCTCCAGCTCCTGGATGATGACTTCCTTCTTTTCTATTTCTTCCCCTCTAGAAGGTAAACAGATAAGACAAATAAGATCATAAGGAAAGCTCTGTTGAGAATCTTCCCTGGTAGAGCTGAAGAAAGACATAATGTGACTTAGTGGTAGAGTGGAATATGATTTAGTGGTAGAGTGCTTGCCTCACATGCATGAAGCCCTGAGTTTGATTCCTCAGTACCACTCACACACAAAAAAAGCCGGAAGTGGTGCTGTGGCTCAAGTGGCAGAGTGCTAGCCTTGAGCAAAAGAAGCTCAGAGACAGTGCCCAGGTCCAGAGTTCAAGCCCCAGGACTGGAAAAAAAAAAAGAAAGATAACAGTTTTGTGGCTAATTTAAGGCTCTTGGGGAGAAGGGATCACCTTGGTGGTGTGGTCTGAGCATCAGTACAAGATTATCCCAAAATGTCTTCCCCACTAAGCCAAGTCTTGAGATTCCACTGGGAAGGCTAACCATTTATTAGACCAGTTGCAATCCCAGTGTGATCTGGAGATTCATAGAGATACTCAAGACACTTTCAAGTGATCTCCAAAGCATACTAGGAGGAATATAAAATGATACAGCTGCTATAGAAAGCAGTTTGCCAGTTCCTCAAGAAGTTAAACAGAATCCACATGATTGAGCTGTCCTATTCCTAGGAATATATATAGTTGTTGTTGTTGATTGTGGGGCTTGAACTCTGAGCCTGGGCACTGTCCCTCAGCTTTTCATCTCAAGGCTAGAGCTCTACCACTTGAGCCACAGTGTCACTTCCAATTTTCTGACTGGTTTATTAGAGATAAGAGACTCACGGACTTTCATGCCCCGGCTGGCTTTCAACCGCAATCATCAGATCTCAGCCTCCGGAGGAACTAGGATTACAGGCATGAGCCACTGGCACCAGGCTTTGAACACAAGCTTATTAACTTCGTTGTTTTGTTTGCAGTGTTGAATACCATGCCAGGCCTTGCACCTGCCAGAAAAGTGCAATATCTGAGCTACCTGCCCAGCTAATTAAAGATTTAATTTCTTTTTTTTTCTTTTGGTCCGGTCGTGGGGCCTGAACTCTGGGCCTGGGCGCTGTCCCTCAGCTCTTCAGCTCAAGGCTAGCGCTCTATCACTTGAGCTGCAGTGCCACTTCCAGTTTTCTGGTGGTGAATTTGAGATAAAAGTCTCATGGACTTTCTTGCTCCGTTGGCTTTGAACCATAATCCTCAGATCTCAGCCTCCTGAGTAGCTAGGATTACAGGTGTGAGCCACTGGCACCCAGCCTCCAGCTAGAATTCTAATATGTTGAATACAATTAGTCGAAGTAGACTTTCTAGATATTTTTTTCTGTCTGTTTCTCTTTGTTTCCTCTCTGTCTCTGTCTCTATTTCTTTCTCTCTGATTTTAGATATAGTCTTGCTGGCCTCAAATTCATAATCCTCCTCCTTCAGCTTCGTGAGTGCTGTGAGTATAGGTATGTACCACCTTGTCTGACCCTGATCTTGTTCTTGATCTTAGGGGAGAACCTTTAAGTCTTCCATCACGGGATGTCCATTGTGGGTCCTTTTATAGGTTTTTTTGAGGAAGTTTCCTTCTAAGCCTAGTTCAAGTGTTTTCTTTCTTTTCTTTTTTTTACAAAACAATACTCTGATATTTTATTACTCAAAGCCTTTTTATTTATCAGAAAGGTTCTTTCTTTGCTAGCAGTTTAGAGACCTCTGGAATCCTAGGCCCACACAAACAGCTTCCTGTTTTTATTTAGCTTTCTGACTCTGTGCTTGTGCCTTCAGCACTTTCACGATGATTTTCTGCTCCTCAATAAGGAAAGCACGCTTGATCCTGTCCCGGACACATTTGGCACACATGGAACCAACATAGGCTCTGCTGACATGTTCTTTTTGTTTTAGAGAATCGCATGAGGACAAACCCCCCGGAGCCAGCCTGGACATACACCACATGCAGATTTTGGTGCTTTTCCGACCTTTTTGGTGTAAAGGTAAACAATTCTATTGCCAGGGGTTCGGGACAGCCTGGTTTTGTTAGAGGCTATGTTGTAGGAAAGCCTACGGCGGTATGTCAATTGCTGGACCATTTTGATGGCCTCTAGACACCGTCCCCAGAAGAGCGTGTTTTCTTTCTTTCTTTTTCTTTTTATTGATTAAAGTTTGTTGGATGCTGGGTGTCAGTGGCTCATGCCTGTAATCCTAGTCAGGAGGCTGAGATCTGAGGATCACAGTTCAAAGCCAGCCTGGGCAGGAAAGTCTGTGAACCTTTTTTTTTTTTTTTTTTGGATGGTCGTGGGGCCTGAACTTTGGCCTGGGCACTGCCCCTCAGCTCTTCAACTCAAGGCTAGTGCTCTACCACTTGAGCCACAGTGCCACATCCAGCCTTTTCTGCTTATATGTTGCTGAGGAATCCAACCCAGGGTCTCAAGCATGCAAGGCAAGCACTCTACCACTTAGCCACCTTCCCAGCTCTGTCAGACTCTTAATCTCCAGTTAACTACTGAATTTTTTTTTTCTTGCCAGTTGTGGGGCCTGAACTCTGGGCCTGGGTGCTGTCCCTCAGCTCTTCAGCTCAAGAATAGCGCTCTACCACTTGAGCCATAGCGCCACTTCTGGCTTTTTCTGCTTATGTGGTGCTGAGGATCGAACTCAGGGCCTCATGCATGCAAGGCAAGCACTCTATCACTGAGCCACTTTCCAAGTCCCTGAAAAAATTTTTTTTAAGGCACCAGGCACCAGTAGCTCACACTTGTAATCCTAGCTATTCAGGAGGCTGAGATCTGAGGATCACAGTTTGAAACTAGCCCAAACAGGAAAGTCCATGAGACTCTTATCTCCAATTAACCAATGCAGTAGAGTTGAGCTAATCAATGTGGTAGAGAGCTAGCCTTGAGTGCAAAAGCTCAGGGACAGCACCCAGGCCCAGAGTTCAAGCCCCACAACTGATTAAAAAAAAGTGTGTTGGATTTGGTGACATAATTCTTCTGCATTAATTGCAACAATCAGGCAGGTTTCTTTCCGCTTATTCTATGAATGTACTCATTAAATGTCTGGATTATATGATACTGTCTTGTTTACTGGCTTTCCACGTTGTTGTTGGTCCAGGGGGTTAAACTCAGGGCCTGGGTGCTGTCACTGAGGTTTTGTGCTCAAAGGTAACATTCTACCACTTTGAGCCACAGCTCCACTTCTGATTTTTTAGGTAGTTAATTAGAGATGAGAGTCTCATAGGCTTTCCTACCAGGGCTGGCTTTGAACCACAATTTTCATATCTCAGTCTTCAGAGGTAGGATTACAGATACAATCTACCAGCACTTGGCTTTATGGCTTTTTTTTTTTTCTGGTGTTTTTTGGTTGGTTGTAGAGCCTGAACTCAGAGTTTGCGTGTAAAGTCTATGACACTCTTTTTTTTCAGTCATTGGGCTTGAACTCTGGGCCTGAGCACTATCCCTCAGGTCTTCAGCTCAAGGTGAGCACTCTACCACTTGAGCTACAGCACCACTTCCCATTTTCTGGTGGTTTACTGGAGATAAGAGTTTCACGGACTTTCCTGCCTGGGCTGGCTTTGAACTGCGATCCTCAGATCTCAGCCTCCTGAGTAGCTAGGATTACAGGCGTGAGCCACCGGTGCCCCGGCATCTATGACACTCTTATCTCCAATAAACTACTCAGAAAAATCCAGAAGGGGTTCTGTGGCTCAAGTAGTAGAGCTCTAGCCGGGGCACTGGTGGCTCACGCCTGTAATCCTAGCTACTCAGGAGGCTGAGATCTGAGGATCATGGTTCAAAGGCAGCCCCAGTCCGGGCAGGAAAGTCTGTGAAACTCTTATCTCCAATAAACCACCAGAAAACCAGTGGTAGAGCGCTAGCCTTGAACTGAAGAGTGTAGGGACAGTGCTCAGGCCCAGAGTTCAAGCCCCACGACCGACAAAAAAAAAAAAAAAAATAGTCTACAGTAGCCATTACCATGGATTGAACAAAGGCAGAGCAAGGCTGACCTGGGGGTGTGCACTAGCATGAATTATTGTAATTTTTGTTGTTGTTGTTGGTCGTGGGGCCTGAACTCTAGGCCTGGGTGCTGTCCCTCAACTCTTTAGATCAAGGCTGGCGCTCTACCACTTGAGCCACAGCGCCACTTCCGGCTTTTTCTGCTTATGTGATGCTGAGGAATCAAACCCAAGGCCTCATGCATGCAAGGCAAGCACTCTACCACTGAGCCACCTTCCCAGCCCCACTAGCATGAATTATATAGATGAATTTGAAAATTACCTGATACTGTTGCCATATCTGATTTTGAATTTATACACATTGGATCCTGCATGAAAAAACCTTGTCTCTGGAAACGGGTAGGTAAAGGGTTTCAAAGTCATTGTTTCACAATAGTATCCTAAAGAAAGTAGAAATGTTAGAGTATTACTCAAAAGCTAAAAATGGCATCTTTTATACAGGAAAGAGCATACCCAAACTGTAACATGTATTCAAGGGGAAAATGTCTAACAGTACCATTGCCCACATAGCAGGCTCATTTCTGCTATAGTTACATAGACCATTCTCCTATTTGCATGGGAAAGAAACATGTTGGCACCATCTCTGTGACTTTGTAAAAATCACTTCTCTTCCAGAAGACTAATGTCTCTAACACCTGCCCTGAGGTTACAACTCACAGGTTTTGCTTATAATAAAAAGATTCTCCCAAATATCTCTTCAGGCTATTTTCCTTTTACATCCCACTTTCCCTGGAACCTAAGAAGCTCAAGTTAAGTAATGAGATAATCAAGAGGCTGCACTATTAAGAGGCACAATTACAAAGGCCTCTGCTATTAATTCTTAATGAAATTAAGGGAAACCTGAAGTGGCACTGTTGCTGAAGTGGTAGAGCACTCACCTTGAGTAAAATAGCTCAAGGACAGTGTCCAGGCCCACAGTTCAAGCCACATGGAAAAAAATAAAAAATAAAAAGGTCACACCTGTAATCCTAGCTACTCAGGAGGCTGAGACCTGAGAACTGGGGTTCAAAACCAGCCCAGGCATGGATGTCCATGAGACTCTTATCTCCAATTAATCACCAGAAAGCTAAAAGTGGTGCTGTGGCTCAAGTGGTAGAGTGCTCACCTTGAACTGAAGAGCTGAGGACAGTGCCCAAAGCCCAGAGTTCAAGCTCCCGCAACAACAACAAAAAAAAGGGGGCGGGACTGGGAATGTGGCTCAGTAGTAGAGTGCTTCCCTAGCATGCATGAAACCCTGGGTTCCATTCCTCAGTACCATATAAACAGAAAAAGCCAGAAGTGGTGCTGTGGCTCAAGTAGTGGAGTACTAGGCTTTAGCAAAAGAAACTCAGGGACAGCCCAGGCCCTGAGTTCAAGCCCTAGGACTGGCAAAAAAAAAAAAAAAAGTTAGGGTCTTGCTTTTTTTCCAGGCTGTCCTTGAACTATATTCCTTCCAATCTCTGGCTCCCAAGTAGTTTGGGCTACAGGCATGCACCATCATGCTGGAGACTGGCCATGCCTTATTCTAAGTGCCGTATATACATAGGTAGTATTATTTCAATTAATCCTCACAAAAAGTCTATTGATAGACTTAGTGTGATAGGTGAGAAAATTGGAGGACTGAGAGTTGAAGTAATCTATTCATAACTATAACTGCTGGAATTTGGATTCAAGTTGAATCAGTATAAATCACTCTGTCAATCTGTCCTAGGGTTTATAAGGGGAGCATAAAACGGAAAAAGTTGATGCTTGAAAAATCTGGCAAAAATCCCTCTCCCAGGGGAGAAGGGGTATCATAGTTAAAGCCTTTGCTATGGTTTGGATGTGTCCACCAAAAGTTAACGTGTTGGAAACTTAATGCCCAAACTTACATGTTAATATTATTTGGAGAGGGCTGGGAAGGTGGCTCAGTGGTAGAGCGCTTGCCTTGCATGCCTGAGGCCCTGGGTTCCATTCCTCAGCACCACATAAGCAAAAAGAAAAAAGCCGGAAGTGGCGCTGTGGCTCAAGTGGTAGAGTGCTAGCCTTGAGCTGAAGAGCTGAGGGACAGTGCCCAGGCCCAGAGTTCAAGTGGTAGAGCGCTAGACTTGAGCTGAAGAACTGAGGGACAGTGCCCAGGCCCAGAGTTCAGGCCCCACGACCGGACACACAAAAAAAATATATATTATTTGGAGACATACCTAAATTATATTATGTACTTTGTTTTGGGTCCGGTCGTGGGGCCTGAACTCTGGGCCTGGGCACTGTCCGTCAGCTCTTCAGCTCAAGGCGAGTGCTCTACCACTGGAGCCACCGCGCCACTTCCGGCCTTTTTTTTTTTCTGCTTATGTGGTGCTGAGGAATCTAGCCCAGGGCCTCATGCATGCAAGGCAAGCGCTCTACCACTGAGCCACCTTCCCAGCCCATATTATGTACTTTGTTATAGCAATGTTGTTATAGAAAATTTACTAAGAAATTCTTTGACAGGTACTCATTCTCTGCTTTAAATATTAATCTCATCTTTTAAAAAATGCCTTCATAGAAACATTAAGGATAATGTTTCAGCAAATATCGGGGTACTGTGATCTAGCCAAACTGGCAAATAAAATTAACTATCAAAGGTGAAAAAAAAAACAAACAGGATAATATACATAAAAACCACTTTTTTTTTTTTTTTTGATCATGGGGCTTGAACTCTGGGCTTAGGCGCTGTCCCTCAGCTCTTAAGCTTAAGGCTAGCACTCTACCACTTGAGCCACAGCACTACTTCCGGTTTTCTGGTAGTTTATTGGAGATAAGAGTCTCACAGGACTGGGAAGGTGGCTCAGTGGTACAGCACTTGCCTTGCATGCATGAGGCCCTGAGTTCCATTCCTCAGCACCACATAAGCAAAAAGAAAAAAGCCGGAAGTGGCGCTGTGTCTCAAGTGGTAGAGTGCTAGCCTTGATCTGAAGAGTTGAGGGACAGCGCCCAGGCCCAGAGTTCAGGCCCCACGACCAGACCACCTCCCCACCCCCCAAAAAAAGAAGAGTCTTACAGACTTTTCCTGTCCAGGGCTGGCTTTGAACCGCAATCCTTAGATCTCAGCCTCCTGAGTAGCTAGGATTACAGGCATGAGCCACCGGCCCCCAATATAAAAACTACTTTGTGTCAGGCACTGGTGGCTCACTCCTGTAATCCTAGCTACTCAGAAGGCTGATATCTAAGGATCTCGATTCAAAGCCAGCCCAAGCAGGAAAGTCTGTGAGACTCTTATCTCCAATAAATGACTAGAAAACCGGAAGTGGTGCTGTGGCTCAAGCCATAGAGCACTCGCCTTGAGCTGAAGAGTGCAGGGACAGCGCCCAAGCCTAGAGTTCAAGCCCCATGACCGACCAAAATAAATAAATAAAAATAAAAACTACTTTCTAAGTAGTAAAATGTCATATCCACATAAAAGACAATTTTCATTATCCTTTCCTCTATATTCTTTTTTTTTTGGGTCCAGTCGTGGGGCCTGAACTCTGGGCCTGGGCGCTCTCCCTCAGCTTTTCAGCCCAAGGCTAGCACTCTACCACTTGAGCACAGTGCCACTTCCAGCTTTTTTTCTTTTTGTTTATGTGGTGCTGAGGAATCAAACCCAGGGCCTCATGCATGCAAGGCAAACACTCTACCACTGAGCCACCTTCCCAGCCCCTAATGCCACTTCTTTTTAGCAAAGATCATAAGAGTTTGGTGGGATCAGAAGAATTATGGGCCCAAAGAATGGAGTTTTTCCCAATTTCCCAAGTTCAAGTCTAGGCCTGTCAGGAAGGAGAGCCCACTGTCAGATCCTGCTGCTTGGGATTAGAATGAGAGGAGATTGAGCCAGAGCCCACAGGACTATTTAGACTACAATTGCAGCAAAAGGCAAACAAAAACAACAAAAATGGTGCCAACTACAAAGTCACCAGAGGTGAAATTCTGTTTATAGCCTGAGAGAGGAAAAAACAAACAAACACACAAATACCCCTTACTTAAGGCATAGCAGGAACCCAGACTGGATGTAATGGGTGTCAGATGACTTTTCTTAGACAGGGAGCTCACCTGGTGATACTTAAGTTGCTGTTACAAAAATTTCACTCTGTTACTCAAAAGTTTCTTTTTTTTTTTTTTTTTTTTTGTTTTTTGGGTCTGGGTGTGGGCCCTGAACTCTGGGCCTGGGCACTGTCCCTCAGCTCTTCAGCTCAAGGCTAGCGCTCTACCACTTAAGCCACAGCGCCACTTCTGGCTTTTTTCTTATGTGGTGCTGAGGAATCAAACCCAGGGCCTCAGGCATGCAAGGCAAGCGCTCTACCACTGAGCCACCTTCCCAGCCCCTCAAAAGTTTCTTGAAAGATGTAGTCACTTGCCCACAGACTGTGGTATTGGGGCATCTGAGCAAATAAATGAAGGTCATTTGCTAAAAATGACTATCCAGAGAGAAGACTTCATGTGCTGCACCACAGCTGGCCAAAAGAAGCAAAAACAACCCTCTTCTAGCTGGGGCTTATGCTTGTTAATTGCTGGCTACTGGCTTCAGAAACAAGTACCACACACTAATTACCTCATTTGAAAATAAAGATCAGACAGCACAATCCAAAACAACTACTGAGTAGTAGTGATTCAAAGATTCACAGGGTTATTTCAACATTGACTACAGTATCCATGGTGACAGTGTGTCCCAGTAACTATTATTAAATTGATGGACCTTGTAGAAAAAGGTCAGACTTTCAACTCATTTCTAGGTGACCACATCATGATGGCTTAAGAACAAAGGAGTGAAAAAATTCAGGCAGTATGGGACAGTGAAAAAGACGTAAGATTTAAAATCAAAAGACCATGGCCAAGTTCTACTTCTGCCTCTTATTAGTCAGCTGACCCTAAGTAAGTCATTAGTCTCTGGATTTCTCATTTTCTGCATCTACAATGGCAATTCTACCAATTATAGGTATTGTGGGATTAAATTATATGTGTGTGTGTGTGTGTGTGTGTGTGTGTGTGTGTGTATGCTGCCATTTCATAAACTTCAAAATACTTTATTTATTTTTGTTTGCTGGTCCTAGTGCTTGAACTCTGGGCCTGAGCACTGTCCTTGAGCTTCTTTTGCCCAAGGCTAGTGCTATACCAATTGAGCCACAGCCCCACTCCTGACTTTTTCTGAGTTTATTGGATAAAAAAAAAAAAAAAAAAAGCCGGGCGCCGGTGGCTCACGCCTGTAATCATAGCTACTCAGGAGGCTGAGATCTGAGGATAACGGTTCAAAGCCAGCCGGAGCAAGAAAATCCGTGAGACTCTCTGTTTTTTTTTTTTTTTGTCGGTCGTGGGGCTTGAACTCTGGGCCTGGGTGCTGTCCTTCAGCTCTTCAGCTCAAGGCGAGCGCTCTACCACTTGAGCTACAGCGCCAC